AAAATAATGGAAGCCCTATGCCATGGGATGAAGTCTCTGACCATGTACTTCACTAGCCTTCCATAATATAACTTTTCCTTCCAACAAACAGCAGATATAAGGGGTAGCTACTTAGCTGCCACTCTAGGGCTCTGGCTCTCTGCAAGTGTAACTACTCCTTATGAGTATTCCTCACTGCCATTTCCAGTCCTGTGACCAAACTCTCTATGGGTTTGTTCCATCTACAAGGGTCAAAGCAATCCATGTTATTACACAGGTGATTATGGTATTCCTGCGTTATAACACAGCTCCCACAATGTTGCCTCTCACAATAACCTTCTGTGCAGATAGGTTTAATAAATTATTAGTAGGAAGTATAATCATGTTACTGACATGAAGAGTATTGTACTATTGATGGTTATAAATACATCAGCAGAAGGTGTTCCAGAGGTTATAAGCAACCTGTTGCACTCTGTAACAATCAACTATTTATTAACACAATCAACTACTATCCTTTTATTAAAAGAACCTTAATATAAAGTATGACTTCTAGTTTGTAATGAAGATCGACCATAGCAATGTCCGAAGAGCATGCTAAGACCCAAGGGGTGTAGCATATTTCAGAACAAGGTGAAGGTCCTGCACTATACATTGAAACCAACGCAGCCATCACTTGAAGTCTGAATGCTGCACTATAGCTACCCCCTGACTACTTTTCTAGTTCAGAGCAGACAGGTTCATTGACATCAGGGTAGGTTAAACCCATGGACTAAGGCTATCTGGAGAGTGCCGTAGAAGCCTCTTTCCAAATTGTTAAACTCTTACTGTTGTTAGTTTTCGTTAACTGTCCCCAAACTCAGTGGGTGCGTCTAGACTGGCAAGATTTTGTGCAAAAGCGGCCACTTTTGCACAAAAACTTGCCAGCTGTCTATGCTGGCCGCTTGAATTTGCGCAAGAGCACTGACTTTGTAATGTACAAAATCAGTGCTTCTTGCGCAAATACTTTGACGCTCCCGCTCAGGGATAAGGCCTCTTGTGCAAGAATACTTGCGCAAGAGGGCCAGTGTAGACAGGCACCTTAATTTTTTGCGCAAGAAAGTCCAATGGCTAAAATGGCCATGGGAGCTTTCTTGCGCAAAAGCGCATCTAGATTGGGCACGGATGCTTTTGCACAAAAGCACTTTTTGTGCAAAAGCATCCGTGCCAATCTAGACACTCTTTTGCGGAAATACTTTTAACAGAAAAACTTGTCCGTTAAAAGTATTTCCGCAAAATCATGCCAGTCTAGACGCAGCCAGTGAGTTTTGTTTCAGAACTACTGAGACAAGAACACAGTTTGACCCTCACCCAGTGTCCCCAGAAAAAATCATGGACACAAGGATTGCTAGAAATACTGATTTTTTCTAAATATGGCACTTCAGAACCACAAATGACAAATACAGTTGTTTATTTCAAAACACAACAATGAGAAATCTCTTTGTTACAAGTTATGCAGAATTAGAGCTTCCTTTCTCACCTTGTAAATAGAGATGATATGTATAAACTCAATTACATTCTCACAGCTATTGACTACACTCTACAGAATGACAACATCAAATGTGCCTAACAGTGTTTTACAGCTGTGGAGATGCATTTTATATTAAGATTTCACATTTTAAAAACCCCACACTTTACACAAAGTTTAGTTTAAAAAAATAACAAATTTGGTATTGTTATAACTTTAGTTCATATATGATGTCCCCACTTATAAAATATTTCTCCTTCTTCCCCAAATAGGCATTTTTGGATAAGAAGTGAGCCAGAATCATTTGAACTCATTAGCCTGAGGTCCCATCCATGCTACATAAGAAACAATGGTGGTGTAACCTACCTCCTGTAACCCTTTACAACAGACATTTCTCTGTGCTGCAGATTTTTTCACAGTGCAACCATGTGACAGATGTATATGCATTCACATCTACCTGAGGTTTGTAACAGTGCATTGTGGGAAAATCTGGGCATCTCTCATGATACCTCAAGAGGATCTAAAGTAGAGAACATGCTGCAGCAGGGAGACCAAAGCATGGTGGGCTATTCATCTGTACAGCTAAAACATTTTATGAACTGGTTATAAGAAGCCAACCATGTTCAAGGCTAGATCCTAACTGAGCCTATGTCTGCAGTACCACAGAAAATCAACCTAAAGTACGCAACTGAGTCAATGTACCTTAGGTCAAATTACAGTGGGGTCTACACTGCAGGGGGGTCAACAGGAGAAACTCCTCTATCTACTTACATTACTCTTCTCGACAGAGGTAGAGGAGCAGGGTTGACTGGAGAGTGATCTGGATTGATTTGGAGGATCTTCACTAGACCCGCTAAATCAGCTGCTGGTGGGTCAGTCTCAAAGCCTTGATCCTCACGGTAGTATAGCTGTAGACTTAGCTGCCTTGATTAGTAGCTGAATGTTAATAGTGTTGTGTGTGTAGATCCAAACCACAGTTACTCAGCTGTATCACTAGTGAGTTACGTACAGATGTGGTCGTCTCATCTCAAAAAAGATATTTTGGCATTGGAAAAGGTTCCAAAAAGGGCAACAAAAATGATTAGGGATTTGGAACAGGTCCCATGTGAAGAGAGATTAAAAAGACTTGGACTTTTCAGCTTAGAAGAGAGGAGGCTAAGGGGGGATATGATAGAGGTCTATAAAATCATGACTGGTCTGGAAAAAGTGAATTAGGAAAAGCTATTTACTTATTCCCACAATATAAGAACTAGGGGTCACCAAATGAAATTAATAGGCAGCAGGTTTAAAATAAACAAAAGAAAGTATTTTTTCACTCAGCACACAGTCAACCTGTGGAACTCCTTGCCAGAGGATATGATGAAGACTAGGGTTCAAAAAAGAGCTAGATAGATTCATGGAGGTTAGATCCATCAATGACTATTAGCCAGGATGGGTAGGAATGGTATCCCTAGACTCTGTTGTCTGTAAATGGGTGACAGAAGAGGGATCACGTGAGGTTTACCTGTTGTGTTCCTTCCCTTTGGGGCATCTGTTATTGGCCACTGTCGGCAGACAGGATACTGGGCTATATGGACCTTTGGTCTGACCCAGTATGGCCATTCTTAAACTTGGTTGGATGTAGACAAGGCCTAAAACATCTGGGCTTTACCAGCAATTTCCACACAGAATTAGGAGTTTGCTGATAGTTACCTGGTATGACTGATTTTTGTCCCAAACTCCCCTCAAACCTGCACCTTTAACTCAAAATTTCTGTTCTCCAACAAAGTGGATGTCTCAGTTTAAAATTGACAGTTTGGATCTCCTTCCCACACTCCCCAATAATCAAACAAAGAGTTTGCTTGTCTCTGCAGTTGTCCAAGTTCCAATTGTCTGTGACACAATGACCACCTAGAAAAAAAGACCGTCTTCTCTCGATTCTTACTCCTATTTCCTGTTCTATGATGACAGGCTTCTGCTTTCTTGCTATCTCTATCCAAGACCTTTGTTTCTGCCAGAATGCTTCCATTAGCAGCTGCTACTTCCCCAATTTCCATCACCAGTGGTAGGTTATGTATGTGCATATTGGGACCAATGCCCATACTTATACAGATTCCCCAAAGGGACTCCTCACAATGTTGCAAGTCCATTTTCTACAATACACACAATTCTGGTTGGCAATTCTGTATATTTAACATAAGCTGTAGAAAGACAAACCTGTGGTCCTCAGTCACATCTGGCTCCCAAAGCTGCCATTAATTTATGGTGTCTGTTATAGACAAGCCTTGTCTTCAAACTACAAGTGACCCAAACTGTCATTTAAAAAAAAAGTGGGCTAAATACCTTTGCAAAGATTTCACTGCTGTACATACTGGAGTCATACTGTACTGCCTGCTGGATCACTTCACACTGACATTCACAGAGGTTCTTCCCCTGTCAAGGTCCACATATGATGTTTGTAGATCAGAGACAGCACAAAAGTGATGCTAAAATGAGGTCAGCTTCTTTAGTGCGGAGATGAAACCAGATAGGAACACCAAACTGAAAGTCACCCAACGGTGGGAAGAGTTTGGAATCTGGATTCAGATCCAAATATCGTAGTTTAGGCCCACTTCCATTAAACTGATTCAAACCAGAAATCTGGATCTGTAGCAGAGCTCTGTCTCTAAAATCCCCCAATCTTAACATGGGCCCACCTCTGCTTTAAAGTTCCTGAGAAGCTGTTTGGTGGTTCTGCATTTTGAGTGTTTCTGAAGGCAGGAACCATGCTAGGTTAGCGGGATAGAGGTAAATGTGAAGAGAGGTGGCACCAAAGTCTATGCATGGGACTTTGAGTGAGGGTTCTGCTGGCAGGAGCTTGAAGAGTAGCACGGAGCTTGTGTATAAATGTACATAATGATTTAACCAAAACCTAAGAGCTGCTAATGTCTTTCCCTTCTGGCAAATAGAAACTGCTTCCCCAACATCCAAAACCTGTAGCTGGTAAATTTCCTTCTCCCCAGGCAGGTACAGTATGACACCCATGTTCTGCTCTGCTACCACAGGGTAAAGCTGGACCCCTCCAGTGAACGCTCCCTAAATGTCAAGGACACAAGACACCTGTGAAGACTCCATGGGGCATCTTTTTGGCAACCGGGTTGTGAACCATGAATTTATGTCTGTTCAGAAGCCCACCAAGCAGATATTCCCAGCCCTACTCTGACTCTCCTCCCATAGCTCTGTTGTCCACCACTGTCTCACCACACTGTGTACAAAGCAGTATCTTCACATTTCTACCCAAACAAATACTAAATGGAATGTAAACATGATAGCTGTCACTTCCTGGGTCTTCCTCCCCTCACTGGAGGGGTGAAGCTTCTCTAGGGGAAGGAGAGGGAGCAGGACCACTTCAGAACAGATGTCATGGCAACAAGGCCCCACTTCTGTGAAGCACATAGGTTCCTAAATACCTTTGAGGCTCTGGGCATTAGTCTTTTTGAAGTCAACGGGACTGACAGCTCAAGAGCTTTGCTGAATCAGATCCTATGGTGGGTCAAACCTGGTGGAGTTAGCATGCCTCTTTATTTGGGCAGGATTTTCCCCTGCCTTTGGCTAGTTTTGCCAATGCCTTTTCCATATTGTGTTGGTATGTTTCAGTGCAAAATGAGGTGCAGAGATGGTCATGCATTGATTTCCAGGTCCAGTGATCCATCATCTCCCCACACTCAGTCCACTTCGATACTTGGTCTGAACAGTCACAACATTGCAAGAGAGTCCCTCAGTGCTGGGACTTACCTGGCAATGAATCTTGGGATAGTAAGGATGACTTAGCTGCCATTTCACTGGCATTTTTGTCTATTCAAGCTGCTTAAAGGGATGGTTGACTACAAGTCCTGCTCTCCATTAGTCAGCTGTTTGTGTTACTGTTCCCCACATGGGAAGGGTTTAATTTCCTTTATGTTACTCAACATGTGCCTGATCCTAATCAGCAATCTGGGGATCTCCTGCCAGGATCCAGGTTCCTGGTAGCACAGAAGGTACCCTACAACTCGCTTCAGCACAGAGCATGTGAAGTAGGAATGGGAACCACTGCAGGTGGGTATGGGATGGGGAGAATTCTTGCTATCCCCAGGCTGGTGAATGTGAGCTCTTGATGGCACCATTGTTTAGCTGGTGATCTCCATGCCTAAGGGTCAGGCTGAATGCCCCTGCTATCATCACTCAGTCCAGCAAGACTTCACAGGGGTTCTCATGAGCCTGGTGTGCAATCTCGTAGATGCGCTGAAAGTCTTTGTAACGGGGAGCACAGCTGAGCCAGGCCTCCCCAAAGTGCAGCCACCCCATGAAAAGGAAGCTGCCGGGTCCTGGTTTCACACCACACCGCAGCAGGGTGTGGATGCTGCCCATTGATTTGCTGGATTTACTGACAGGCTGGAACAGAGTGAATTTCTGCCGGTGAACCCGGGTGGCACTCACGCTGATGACGGATTCTTGCCTCTCGACATCATTGGAGACAGTCCGGATGTTGCCACGAATGACTGAGGGAAAAGATGGTAGAAGAGGCACAATTACTCACTAATTCAGAACTGGGAACTGTTGCACTGCTGTGGCTTCTGCACCGTTAACTGGGAATATTTGGCTATCTGGGAAAAATGGACAAGGTAGCACAAGTAACCCAGTCAGTGGACCAGCCTCTTGTCACTGGAGACCCAGGCCCAAAGCCTGATTTATTTATTCAGTCCACAGGTAGGTCTGCATGGGGATTTAGTGCTGAAACAGCTTAAGGGACTGCAGATTACACTGGAGTTGCATTATAGATTTGTAAGGTAAGGAGGGACCACTGTGAGCATCAAGTCTGATCTCCTGCATAACACAAGCTAGAGAACCTCTTCCATGAATCCCCCTAAAAGTCTTAATATAGCCCAGGGCTTTGTGGGTTTTTCTGTGCTTATGCCCCTATAATGCAGCAGATGGAGGTCAAGTGCTGTGTTCCAAGGGGATCATCAACTCCCTCACCCCCTCTGCTCCAGTCAGGATATCACTCCATGAAAGGATGGCTGGTATGTTTAGTGAGAACATAAGAGAAAATTCCTCTTCACACATTCCCCAATCTGGATATTCATAGGAATTTCCTAGTATTCACAGTTATGTATTGAGATAAAGGTCATGAAGCCTCATGCTTCAGGACATGAACTGATCACCTGTGAGGATAAGGAAGGGATTTCCCTCTCTCTGCACATATTATGTATAATACTGCACAATTAGCTAGATACATTCTAGTGGGGTTGGCCTTCCCTGAATCAGCGGGTATTGGCCTCTGCCAGACCACTTGATGGATTTATGGTCTGATCTAGCATGACAAATCCCTTGCTCTTATATTTGACTTCTTCATTGCCATGGCAACTCTGGCCTGGGCAGCCAGTGACCCCTGGCCCACCTTCTGCAGTTTACAGATGCAAATCAAGAAGCTAATGGAGCTAACGGCGCATGCAGGAATAATTAGCAACTGTCCACTGTGCCAATGTCCAGTGAGAGCGAAGCCGTTCTCCGCTTTGCGATCACAGCCTGGGACAGAGTTCCTTGGCTTAGTTCTGTCGGCAGCACTTAACACAGGCTACCTGCACCTGATGCTATCCTGCATTTGCCTGCTCTGCTAGCTCCAAGTAGGCTAATGAAGAGGCAGGAACATACGCCAGTGATTGGTTTTGTTTATGGTTGTAAAGCTGCCACAGTGGGCTCTCTGTCATTCAACATGAACTGCCCCTTGTTTTGCACAGCATTTGGAAAGCTTGTACTGTGAGTAGCTCCCATGCACATGCTCTGTCGTATCTGGACTATGCCCAACTCTGTGTGTGCTTCTATAAGGCTGGGAAGGATGAAAAGATGGCCGCTTCTTCTCATTTCAAGTTCCTGACCCCTGTGCTGTGGGTGAAGGGGCTTTTCTGCTTTGCCTATGCCATTGAATTTTTCCCTTTTCATCTGTTTTTATTTCTGCGCCTATTATGTCACTGAGAAGCCATGTGGAATACAGGTTTTTATGAAAGATTCAACACAGAGTATATTAAATAACAAATCTGTGGCCACACAATACTTCAGCTTTCATTCCACTCCTTATCAGAGCAGGTGGGAACATTTTTAAGCAAATGACTTGTACTGAAATATGCAGATTTATTGAAGAGGAAATGTTTTGCAGAAATGTATCAGTTTAGCCTAGTTTCACAGGTAAGGCTTTTTTTAGCCTAAGGCTCTCTGGTCACAGCTGAGGAGGGAAGAGGACCCAGGTCAGAAAGCTCATGTTTTCCATCCAAATCCATATGTTTCAGCATGATTCAGCTTCTCTAAAATATGTGTAATGTTGTTCTAATGTGGAAGAAAAATAAAGTTCAGAACCTTGAGAGCTGCCCTGGAATGAAATTATTGCCATCTAGACAGCACTAGTGCTTACCAAAGATCTCTCAGAACTCTTTGGGAACACTGGGAATAGATTTCAAGGCTTTTTAATCCACTAGCATAGTTCCTTACCACTTGAGGTAAGAAAGGGTAAGTCTAGACTACACGGCTCTGGCGACAGAGCCATGTAGATTAGTTTACTAGACATACCCAAATGGAGCGGCGATTTAAATAATTGCCGCTTAATTTAAATTAAAATGGCTGCCGCGCTGTGCCGATCAGCTGTTTGGTGGCACAGCACTGTAGTCTGGACGCTCCGCGGTCGACATCAAAGGCATTTCTCAACCTCCCCGGTAAACTTCATCCCACGAAGCATACCGGAGAGGTCGACAAATGCCTTTGATGTTGACCACGGAGCATCCAGACTACTGCACTGTGCCGCCAAACAGCTGATCAGCACAGCGCGGCAGCCATTTTAATTTAAAGGAAGCAGCAATTATTTAAATCGTCGCTTCATTTGGGTATGTCTAGTAAACTAATTTACATGGGCAGAGCCATGTAGTCTAGACATACCCTATGACAGCTAAGGAGATTCTTTGGGTATGTCCAGACTACACTGTTATTTTGAAATAGTTATTTTGAAATAAAGCATCCGCACACAAAATGCATTTTGAAATAGCATTTTGCTATTTCAAAATAGCACGTCCACACTGAGTGGACTCTGAATCGCATTTAAGGCTGGCAAGAACCAGTTCCAGCAGGGCTCCAGGTCAGGACTTACTGTGTAGGGCTGCTGTCTGAGGCTATCTGAGGTCTGTGCTTAAAGGGACACCTCTCCCCCTGGACAGCCAGTTCTCAGGTTTCCTTGTTTGCTTGTCTACCTCGATGAGGGACAGCAAAGCATTTTGTCTCTGCATGCTCTGATTGCCCTCACTCGGGATACCGCAGCACTCTGCAACATGAAGCCAGAGCTGCCAATGGGCACTCTGGTGCTTCTTGTGGACACATTGCTGTGACCCGGGCTGCACTTTCTGCAGGCTGCCATCTGGGAGGTCCATCGGGGGGCTGTCAGTATCCAGGAGGCCCTGTGGGAGAACTTCTACCCTGAGGAGCACTAAGTGCCTCCCTAGTCTGCCCCACTGGGGGCTTGTGCTTCATTCCTTCCTCACGTCCTTCCACTTACCCCTCCCTAACCCCCCTTCCTGATGTCAGATAAAATACACATATTTTCATGAACACAAACTCTCTTTATTTAACAAAACTTGGGGGGAGGGAATTAAACTCTGGTGAGACTGGGGAAAGGAGGTGGGAGATGGGAGAAGAGAGGGGAGGGAGAAACCTGGAAGGGGGAAGCAAGGGGAAGAAGGGGGAGGGGAAGCTCAGGGCTCAGGGTTGGGGGTCTCGCAGGACCAACTTGATTTTCATGCAAACCTGCTTCTGGGTTCGCTTGTGGCCTTTGGTGGCCAGGCTGGCAGCTATCCTGCCATAGACAGCTGCATTCCTCCGTCTGGTGCAGAAGGCTGGCAGCTATCCTACCATAGACGGCCGTGTTCCTCCGTCTAGGGCTCAGATCATGGAAGTTGGGGGCATCCCCCCCAAACCTGAATAAGGTCCATGATCTCCAACCGGGACCAGGAAGGCGTCCACCTTCTCCAGCCCCTGTCATGCTCCTGGGAGCTGGCAGACTGCTCCGGGGGAGCGGTGGAGGGCTGGCTGCCAGTGGCTTGCTGGCTTATGTTTTGGGGCCACTGGGTCAGGGGCAATGACTGCTGGCTCTGGACTGGCAGGCTTGGAGCTGGCACAGGCACTGTGGCCAGAGTCTATCCCTTTAAGGGATCCGGGAAGGGCGGGCGGCGGGAGAGCAGTGTTCTTGGTTGAGGCTAGGGTCACCCTGGGAAGGCTGGAGGCCCCCTATTTTGAAATAAGAGTCTACACAACACTTATTTCGAAATAGCTATTTTGAATTTGGTGTTATTCCTCATAGGATGAGGTTTACCAAATTCTAAATGAGCGCTCCACTATTTAGAATTTATTTCAAAGTAGCGGTTTGGTTGTGTAGACGCTAGGAAAGTTATTTTGAAATAAGGGCTGTTATTTCAAAATAACTTTGCTGTGTAGACATATCCATAGGGCCCATGACACATAACAGAGCTCTTCTCATTCTTTCTATAGAGGCCCATGGTAAATAGCATTGTGTATGTCATGTGCAGGCTAGCATGTGTCCTATCATGGGGACATCAGAGACTGGATTTTTCTTTGTTCTGTGTTTAATTCTTGATATCCACTGATGACAAACACCCCAGATTCCTGGAAGAAACCCCTTAGGGGAAGAGAATGTGATTGCAGAAGTGGCAGAAGCTGTACTCACCAAAGTCACTAGTGCAAATGGCCATCAAGATCTCGGTGTCATTACATGGCCGGCATGCCCCTGCAGCATCAAAACAGAGAAGAGTTACATTGGAAATGAGGGCCAGGCTTTCTGCTCACATATGCTCTAAGCAGGGATGCTTGCTAAGTCCTGTTTGTTTGCTGGTGCCACACAGCATGGCCATCTGGCCTCCTCAGACCACCGGGTGCCTCAGGCTCTATCTTTATTCCTGCAAGAGTTGCTCTGCTGCCCTGTGCCTTCTAGAGGCTCCCTTCCCCTGGTAGTTGGCCTGGTGGAATGCAGCGTCCCTTCCCCCTGCAATAGCACCTGGCCAAGGGAGGTGGGATTGTGCATTAGGGTTGTTAATTATTGGTTAACTGAATAGTCGATTAACCTCATGAATTCTTATCAGTCAACTATTCTATAGTCCCCGGGGGCAGAGCCAGCAGCCAGCACAGTCTGACCCTACTCCCAAGGAGTCCCCAGCAACTCAGCACTGCTGCTTCTGTATCAGAGGCAGCATCACGGGGTGCCAGGCAGGAGCTGGGCTGTGAGGGGAGCAAGTTTAAAAATCAGCTCCCTTCATGGACTGGCTGCCTGTTGCCCTGCACTGCTGCCTATGATACAGAGGCAGCATGTAAGGGCTCTACTCCCATTTTGCCCACAGTCCCACCCAATTCTGTCCGCTCCCCACTGCAGCTCTGACTCTTATTCACTGCTTTCTGCCCCACTGTGGCTCCAAGCCTAGAGATGCTCTGTCTACACTGCTGTGACCCTGGGGTTGCAGCAAGAAGTGACAGCTCTTCCAGTCCCAGTCAACTCAAGATAGTTGAGTCCCAAGCAAGCTGTGAAGAGCTTTGAGAGGATCTCACAAATCTGGATAACTGGGCAATAAAATGGCAGATGAAATTCAGTGTTGATAAAAGTCAAGAAATACACATTGTAACACATAATCCCAACTATACATATAAAATGATGGGGGCTAAATTAGTTGTTACTACTCAAGAGAGATCTTGGAGTCATTGTGGATAGTTCTCTGAAAACACCCACTCAATGTACAGCAGCAGGCAAAAAAGCAAACAGTCACTTTGAAACTGAACTGGTGAAAGCCATGAGTGGGGAGGGGCAGCCCCTTCCATTGATGAGGCATTCTGAGCAGGGCCATGAATATTATTTCTCAACAAGGGGAAATGTTTCCTCTCCCCCACCCCCAGTATTCTTTAATAATTGCAGTGACTTACGCTGGCAGCAGCGGAAGGCAATGGCATGTTCCTCTTCTGTGATCTAGGCTAGAGATGGAGTCAGGGATTTGGTTTGGGCCCAAATTTCCCTGGGCTGTGACTCCTATTCTATGCATATTCCTCCCTGGTTCATACAGGCTGAGAACCCAGAGTTGAAACAGAACTTTTCAGGTGTTCACGGTGCTTAGGATTCAACAGTTGGTTTCTGTCCTCTTACAGACAGACTCTGGTTGTCTCTAGGCTTGAGGTTCCCAGCCCAGCCTTTGTGGCTGGTGTTGCTGTTAGGGTACCTTTACATGGGGTGATGAACCTGACTAGAAAAGACTGGCTCCCCAGGCAGGGTGGGGTATGCTCAGCCTGTTGTTAGCTCTGTGGAAACATACTGCTAATTCACCCAGGCCACAGCTTCCAGATCTTTGTACTCTTTCCTTGACCCAGGGCCAGCTCTGCTGCCCTTGGAGACTCATCCTATGGCTGGGAAGGAGGAGGGGGAGAGAGGAACCATTGCTGCAGAGCTAGGATACTTCCTTTCAAATCTCCTTGCCTGAAAACCCAGTCATGCTGATCCTGTGTTTAGGGTTCCCAGGGCCCTGCTGAGAGCAGCCCTTGCCATTCCTGGGGGTGGAGGTGGGGGGGGGGAAAGCCCGTGTCACCACAGTGACCAGGAGAACCCCTTATGTCTGAGATGGTTGGATGGCAGGGATATCCCTCGGGACTTTCATTAGCTCAGCTGTGAGGCAGCTGAATGGATTAAACATGCTGATAGGAATTGCTTTGAGACCCTCCTCTGGATCCTGGCTCTGCTCTTTAAACACGCTCAGGCAGAGAGGCCAGATTGGGTTACTGTCCCATCCCTGTCCCTGACAGGAGGTCCACACTGGGCAAGGTTTTCAGCAGTCAGGGGCTGGAATCTCCTGTAGAATATACCTGTTCGTAGCCTGGAGAGACAAGAAACCCAAGAAGAATCCTACTGACCAAAGAGCTCCTACTGTGTAACAGTTACATGGCTCAGAGCCCTGCTAACACTGTCAATAATTGACCCAGTCTCAGTGCTATGACTCAAGCAAAACCTCCTGTCATCTTCATTAATCAAGAGGAATTCTGCCTGAGTGCGAACTGAGCAAGAGCTTGAGGACTGGCCCCTTGTTAACTAATTATCCTGTGAGGTATGTCAGCAGTGGGAATCTAAAATACACAGAAGTGAAACAGTTTGCCCAAGGTCAGTCAGTGCAGAATCAGAAATAGAACCTAAGGCTCCTAGGTCCTCTAGCCAGCCTCTCTCTACAAGAATGCACACAAGCCTAGATTTTTAACTGGCTCTGTTAGAACAATGCAGTAAGGACTCAGCCTGCTGGAGCAGCTCATGCCAGGGCACTGCTGTGGTGGATCTCACCCTCCTTGCCCAATGAGGGAGGAGACTGGCAAAGTGACAAGACAGGAGGCAAGCAGTGGAGTTGGTTAACACGCCTGGCATTGAGTGGATCCCTGACACGCTGGCTATTTACCTTCCAGGCTGAGGCTGCTGGAGGGCAGTGAGAGGCGTGAGTTCCAGTCTCCCCGCAGCTCATAGCGGAAGGCAGCAATCCGACGGCTGATGTCCTGGTGCAAGGTAGACTGAAGAAAGAGTGCCACTTTTTCCTGGGGCAGCCAACTGAAGCAGCGCACCCTAGGACGGAGGGAGGCATCTGTCTCAGACAGCAGAAGTTCCAGGATCCCATCCCTCTCCAGATAGATCTGAGCTCCTTGGAAGGTGCTGGAGGGCTTGATACAAGTGGTGATCTGCCTGGGGCTCTTCCCTTTGGCTGCGGTGCTCATGGGGAGGCGGGGGGAGAGGCTGAGGCGTAAGGCTCCAGCTGGGTACAGCCACTCAAGTAAGCCTTCAGCACAGTGTAGAGAGATCTGCTCCACGCTTTCTGATTCCTGGGACAAGCCACTGCAGGAGGAGAACGAACACATGTTACTATCATACTAGCCCTTTGTCAAAAGGATCTCCATCCCAGCATGCGCCAGGACCCTTTCAGCTTCCAGTGGCCCCACCAGGCAGCAGGATTAAACCAGCTTCCAGTGGCCATAGCTACCCAGCACAGAGCCCACTTGCCCAATAGCCCAGGATATGTCTACACTCCCACCCTAGTTCAAACTAGGGTGGTAATGTAGGCAACCGGAGTTGCAAATGAAGCCCGGGATTTGAATTTCCCGGGCTTCATTTGCATACTGCTGGGCACCGCCATTTTTAAATGTCCGCTAGTGCGGACTCCGTGCCCCGCGGCTACACGTGGCACGGACTAGGTAGTTCGGACTAGGCTTCCTATTCCGAACTACCATTACTCCTCGTGGAACTACCATTACTCCATGTGGAACGAGGAGTAACGGTAGTTCGGAATAGGAAGCCTAATCCGAACTACCTAGTCCGTGCCACGTGTAGCCGCGGGGGTCTAATCAATGGGATGTAGGCACCTAAATTAAACACCTTGGAGTATCAGGGTCTCGGTCCTTCTCACAGGAGGTATGTCTACACTACCACCCTAGTTCGAACTAGGGTGGTAGTGTAGACATACCTCCTGTGAGAAGGACCGAGACCCTGATACTCCAAGGTGTTTAATTTAGGTGCCTACATCCCATTGATTAGACGGGGAGATAAGTGCTTAACTCCCTTGCAGAGTCTGGGTCTTAGTGACTGAGACGCTCCATGCCAAGGTTAGAATGTGGAAGCACAGTTTGTAACAATGAGTCAGGCTGACCACTCTCCTGACTGCTCCTCTTGTTTTCCTGCTCTAGTTCTGGGCTGGTTTCATGCCTGCTTGCTCCTTTCTTGTGGAGCAGCCTCAATTACTGGCCACCCAGCTATTCCAGGTGGAGATGGGCCTGAGTCAGACCCTGGATTCCCAAATCTGCCCCCTTCTTCAAACTTCTGAGCTGTCCCCCATTTTACTTTGGGTGTTGAATCCAGATTGTCTCTGAACACCCTGATACTTTGATAAAGTTGAGATGCAAACTCAGTACTGGGGGGCGCCTTCTCTACTTGTCTCTAGTAGGGTACGTCTACACTATAGCGTTAATTCAAGTTAACTATTTCAAATTAAGCTAATTTGAATTAACACATCTACACACAAAACCTATTTAGAAATAGCGTTTTGCTATTTCGAAATAGCGTGTCCACTCTGAGTGGACCCTGAACCAAAGTTAAGGCTGGCCAGAACCAGTGCCGGCAGGGCATCAGGTTAGGACTTAGCGTGTGGGGCTGCTGCCTGAGGCTAACTAAGCTCCGTGCTTAAAGGGACCCTACCCCCACCCCAGACAGACAGTTCTCAGGGATCCCCGCTTGCTTGTCTACCTGGGTGAGGGACAGCAAAGCAGTCCTGTCTTGGAGTGCCCTGAGTACCTGCACTTGGGACACCACAGCACTCGGCCACATGGAACCAGAGCTGCCCCTAGCCATGCCGGTGCATCTCGTGGGGTCGTTGCCATCAGCCCAGCTGTATTTGCTGCAGGCTGTCATCTGGGGGGGGGGCCTCGGGGCTCACGTCCTTCCACTTACTCCTCCCTAGCCCCCCTTCCTGATGTCAAATGAAAGACACGTATGATGAAAAATAGAAACTGGGTTTATTGAACAAAACTGGGGTGGGGGGGAGAGGGATGAACCTCTGGGGAGACTGGAAAAAGGAGGTGGGAGAGAGGTTGGGAGAGGGGAGGGGGAAGCCTGAGAGGAGAGTTCTGGAAGGGGGAAGCAAGGGGAAGAAGGAGGAGTGGAAGCTCAGGGCCCAGTGTTGGGGGTTTCCCAAAGGTCTTTAAAAAAGTGAAATTTATCATTATTTCCTGGTACTACCAGGAAACCAGCAAACCAAGGCACAGGGACATGCCCAAACTCACACAAAATGTTTGTGATCGAGCACAAAATTGAACGCAGGTCTCTGAAGGCCTAGACAAGCTCTTTTTCATTGTGACAAGACTCAAACAGTGGTTTTTTTCCAGGCATAGTGCAACTACTGATGGTCTCCAACTCCAAGCAAGGCCATAATAGTGTCATAGAATACTAGAACTGGAACGGACCTCAAGAGGTCATCAAATCCGGTCTCCTGCCCTCATGGCAGGACAAAGCACTGTCTGGATCATCCCTAATAGATGTTTATCCAACCATCTCTCAAATATCTCCAGAGATTCCTCAACCTCCCTAGGCAATTTATTCCAGTGCTTAACCATCTTGGGCAGTTAGGAAGATTTCCTAATGTCCAACCTAAACCATTTTCCTAATGTCCAGCCGTAAGCCCATTCCTTCTTGTCCTGTCCTCAGAAGCCAAGGAGAACAATTTTTCTTCCTCCTGCTTATACACCCTTTTAGATATTTGAAAACAGATATCATGCTCCCTCTCAGTCTTCTCTTTTCTAAACTAAACAAGCCCAGTTCTTTCAGTCTTTCCTTATAGGTCATGTTTTCTAGACCTTTAACAATTTTTGTTGCTCTTCTCTGGACCTTCTCCAGTTTCTCCACATCTTTCTTGAAATGTGGTGCACAGAACTGGACCTAATACTCCAATTGAGGCCTAATTAGCACAGAGTAGAGTAGAAGAATTAATTATCATGTCTTGCTCACAACACTCCTGTTAATGCATACCAGAATCATGTTTGCTTTTTTTGCAACAGCATCACACTGTTGACTTACATTTAGCTTATGGTCCACTATGACCCCTAGATCTTTTCTGCAGTACTCCTTCCTAGACAATTAGGGTATGTCTAGACTACATCCCTCTGTTGTCAGAGGAATGTAAATTAGACATACTGAAATTGCTAATGAAGCGGGGATTTAAATATCCCGCGCTTCATTAGAATAAAAATGGCCGCCGCTTTTTGCCAACGCAGCACTTTGCCAACAACAAGCATAAGTCTAGACGAGGATCGGTCAACAAGGAATGCCTTTTCCGACCGATCCCTTATGCCTCGTGCAACAAGGCTTATAGTATCAGTCAGAAAAGACTTTCCTTGTCAACCGAGCCCCATCTAGACTGCCGCTTGTTGCCGGCAAAGTGCCACGTTGGCAAAAAGCGGCGGCCATTCTTATTCTAATGAAACACAGGATATTTAAATCCCCGCTTCATTAGCAATTTCAGTATGTCTAATTTACATTCCTCTGACAACAGAGGGATGTAGTCTAGACATTCCCTCACTTCCCATTCTGTATGCATGAAATTATTGTTCCTTCCTAAGTGGAGTACGTTGCATTTGTCCTTATTAAACTTCATTCTATTTACCTCAGACCGTTTCTTTAGTTTGTCCAGATCATTTTGAATTATGATTCTATCCTCCAAAGCACTTGCAACACTTCCCAGCTTGGTATCATCTGCAAACTTAATAAGCATACTCTCTATGCCAATATCCACAAGACTTGTTATCCTATTAAAGAAAGAAATTAGCTTCTATGATGAGGTAACTAGCTCTGTCAACACGGGGAAGTCAGTGAATGTGATATATCTTGACTTTAGCAAAGCTTTTGATACACTCTCCCACAATATTTTTGCCAGTAAGTTAAGGAAGCATGGATTGGATAAATGGACTGTAAAATGGATAGAAAGCTGGCTAGATTGTCGGGCCCAACGGGTAGTGATCAACAACTCGATGTCAGGTTGGCAGTCGGTTTCAAGAGGAGTGCCCCAAAGATCAGATCAGTTTTTTCAACATCTTTATTAATGACTTGGATGAGGGGATGGATTGCACCCTCAGCAAGTTTGCAGATGACATTAACTTAGGGGGAGAGGTAGATACGTTGGAGGGCAGGGATAGCATCCAGTGTGACCTAGACGGATTAGAGGACTGGGCCAAAATAAATCTGATGAGGTTCAACAAGGACAAGTGCAGAATGCTGCATTTGGAACGGAAGAATCCCCAGCATTGTTACAGGCTGGGGACCGACTGGCTAAGTAGCAGTTTGGCAGAAAAGGACCTGGGGATTAAAGTGGATGAGAAGCTGGATATGAGTCTATAGTGTGCCTTTGTAGCCAAGAAGGCGAATGGAATAATAGATTGCATTAGGAGCATTGCCAGCAGATCTAGAGAAGTGATTATTCTCCTTTATTTGGCACTGGTGAGGCCACATCTGGAGTATTGTGTCTAGTTTTGGGGTCCCCAGTACAGAAAGGATGTGGAGGCATTGGAGAGGGTCCAGGGGAGGGCAACCAAAATGATTATGGGGCCAGAGCACATGACCTATGAGGAGAGGCTGAGGGATTTGGGCTTGTTTAGTCTGCAGAAGAGAAGAGTGAGGGGGGATTTGATAGCAAAGAGGCTGGAGAAAGGCTGTTCTCCGTAGTGATGGATGGCAGAACAAGGAGCAATGGTCTCAAGTTACAGTGGGGGAGTTCTAGGTTGGATATTAGGAAAAACTATTTCACTAGGAGGGTGATGAAGTACTGGAATGGGTTACGTAGTGAGGTGGTGGAATCTCCATCCCTAGAGGTTTGTAAGTCTTGGCTTGACAAAGCCCTGGCTGGGATGATTTAGTTGGGATTGGTCCTGCTTTGGGCAAGGGGATGGACTCGATGACCTCTTGAGGTCTATTCCAGGCCTCTGATTCTATGATTCTAAAGCTATCAGACTGGTTTCACATGGTTGGTTCTTTACAAATCCATGCTGGCTGTTACCTATCACCTTATTATCTTCCAGATGTTTACAGATGAATTCCTTAATTACTTGTTCCATTATCTTCCCTGGCACAGAAGTTAAACTGACTGGTCTGTAGTTTCCTCGGTTCTTATTTTCCTTTTTATAGATGGGCACTATATTTTCCCATTTCCAGTTTTCTGGAATCTCTTCAAACTTCCATGACTTTCAAAGATGATAGCTAAAGGCTCATATACATCCTCCATCAGCTCCTTGATAGCTTATTTTGATAATGTGGCCTAAAATTTCTTCCATACTCTCATTTGGCTATCTCCTTTGATT